GGCCGTCCTTCGACTCCCTCCCCCTCCGCCCCGACGGCCCTCCCGGAAACGCCTGGGGTCTGTACGGCGCCTCAGACGAGCTCGGCGCGCTGCATCTCCTCACGCCCGCGCGCGTCGCCGCCGCCGCCGCCGCCGAGATCCGCGACGGCACGCGCGTGCCCACCGACTGGCCGCTCGACCGCATGCAGCCGCCCGCCTTTGGGCGGCAGCCCTTTGAGCACCGCATCCTGCCCAAGGCGGCGCACATCCACGACGACGTCGTCACCTTCAACACCCAGTCGAGCACCCAGTGGGACGGCTTCCGCCACTACGGCAGCAGCAGCGCGGGCCTGTTCTACAACGGCACCACGCGCGAGCAGATGATGACGTCGGACGCCATCGGCACCCAAGGTGAGTTCGGCCAGCGCGGGGACATGTGAAAGGAAAAAAGGGGGGGGGAGACCTGATGTGTGGGATCCGCGCCTTTTTTTTTGGTTAACAAAAAAAAAACAATAGCGTGGGTCGAAACGGGAGGCATCGTCGGCCGCGGCGTGCTGCTCGACTGGGCGGCCTGGGCTGCGGCGCGAGGCATCGCCGTCAACGTGCACAGCACGCACCGCATCACGGCCGCCGAGCTGGACCTGGTCGCCGCCGCCCAGGGCACCGCGTTCCAGACCGGCGACATCCTCTTCATCCGCACCGGCTTCACCGAATCCTACGACGGCCTGGCGAGCGAGGCCAAGGCCGCGCTCGCCAAGGACTACATGCCCGCCTCCATCGGCCTCGAGAGCGCCGAGCCGACGCTCCGCTGGCTCTGGGACCACGGCTTCGCGGCCGTCGCCGGCGACCAGCCGGCCCTCGAGGCCCTGCCGTTCCCCGAGACCGACTTCCTGCTCCACGAGTGGCTGCTCCCGGGCTGGGGCATGCCCATCGGCGAGCTGTTTGACCTGAAGCGGCTGGGCGAGGAGTGCAAGAAACGACAGCGCTGGACCTTTTTCTTCAGCAGCATGCCTATTCATGTGAGTAGTGACTGACCGCGCTGTAGTTGGAGCTAACACGAGTTGCAGGTCAAGGGTGGTGTCGCCAGCCCGCCCAATGGCGTGGCTATTTTTTAAGTGAACATGTAGTGTCTTTAGCAGAGCTGAATAGAATGGATACCTAGCTTAACCCCTATACCGAAATGCCCGCCTCCTTCTCAATGTCCTCCTTGGAAAACGCCCATTTGTCCTGTAGCTTCTTATCCAGCGACGTTGCAAAGATGGCCTTGTCCCACCACTCGCCCCAGCTGGTCAGGAAGATGCGGTCGGGGTCCTCTGGGAAGTCGGAGCGCGTCAGCGCAGCAAGCATGCTTTGCGCGCCTAAACTACAATCAGTATCCCTTCTTGTCCGCGTAGTGCAGAGTCGACACGTTACCTTGCGGGATGGTCTTGGCATCGGGCGATCCGGCGGGTAGCTTCATGTCGCTGCCGCGCCCGAGTCCGGTGCCGGGGATCAGGCCGGGCGAGACGGCGACGACGTCGCAGACGCCCGCGAGCTGGCGACGCCACCAGTGCGCGCCGAGGAGCTGCACAAACTTGGTCTTGCAGTAGAGCGAAGCGTCCGCCGTGCCGGCGCCCGACTTGAGCGCGTCCTCCAAGACACCTGTTGCGGGGAGTCTGTTAGAAAAATAAAAGATGTATACTTTTTTGGCGGCCCCAACTTACTCGGGTCAGAAACAGACGTCGCGGCGCCCGAGGACACAAACACAATACGGCCCTTGGACGCCTCGAGCTTCTCCCGTAAAAGATGCACCAGGTAGAACTGAGCTAGTACACCACCCACCCGTCAGCTTCCGTCACAGATGCAGTCCAACGTCTCACTCACCAACGTGATTCACCACGGCCTGCTCGCACCATCGGTAGCCGCGCGGGTTCGCCGCGGCCGGGTCCGTGATGCCCGCGTTGAGGAAGAGGTAGTCAATCTTGGCGTCGCCGACCGCGCGCAGCGCCGCCTCGGCGAACTGCTTCGTGCCCTGGAGATCGGCGAGGTCCAGGGGCAGCACCTCGACCATGTTGGGGGATGCAGATGGCACGTCGCGGAGGGACTGCTCCATGCCCGAAACGTTCCGGGCGCCTAAGACGATGCGGTACGGCTGCGGCGCCTGCAGGAGCTGCTTGAGCGCCTCGAAGCCCTGTTTTTTGTCAGAGAGGTGTATGCGTGGCCGCCTGAGGGGCGTAGAGGACGAACCAAGCCGGAAGTGAGGCCGGTGGCGACAATGGTCTTTGCTGCGGATGCCATTCTTGAGCAGCGTAGGTTGTAGTTTTTTTCAAAGGTGTCTCGTCAAAGAAAAAAGGGGTTTGCTTTCTGCGAGTGATGGGATGTGAAAACGCCTTGAATTCCTCAATTTGTGATTTATAATGCCGTTTGCATTGTCGGACATAGCGGGGTTACAAGTCTATGATGCACCAGGCGAGCCTTGTTTGGCCGGGCATTGGGCTTACACTAGACGAAGCCCAAAGCTTCTCGGTCACCGATGACTAATTAACAGTTCTTGGTGAAGTATTCCACGCCCGTTTCAATTGCTCCCTTCATCGTCCCTCTCGCTTACACCCACTTCAGCGTCGTTTTGTGTATCAAACAGCAAAGCAAGAGGGCATCGTGGATGAACCAGACAACAGGGTCCCCCGCCTTCCCCGCTCTACGCCGATCGGCTACGGGCCGTGATCGCACGTGGCGAGGAATTTTAGGATAGCATCATCTTCTCTACTCTCCCATCCTTTATAGCATACAGAAAAGTAAACATACCCATAGCAAGTTCATGGTCCGCCAGCGTACCCGTGCTTCTCGTACATGGCGAATGAGTCGCGTCCGCACCTTTTCGCCAAGTAACAAACCAAAAACCCGTCGACTCATCGTTCTGCCATTCCTATCGTGTCCGCTATGTTCCATGCAAAGACACCTCATGAATGCTCTCCGCCAGCGCCCTCTGCGCCGCCAAAATCGCCCGCTCCTCCGGGCCGTAGTACCCCGAACCCTGCTCCTCTGCGCCCGGAGACGGAAAATACGCACCATCCATCTCGCACACCACATTCTCCTCCGGCAGGCTTCCCCTGGCCAGATATGCCCGGAGATGCGCCGCCACGCACAGCGAGGGCATCGCCAGCGACGCATGCCCGTACGCGTCCAGGGCCACGAGCCGGGCCCCCGCAAACGTCTTGAGCGCCGCGCGCGCCGCCGCATACGGCGTCACGGGGTCGCGCGTCGCCGCCATGAGCAGCAGCGGCGCGGCCGTCCGCACGGCGCCGGGCGGCACGTAGTACGCGTGCGTCCGCGGCACGTCCCACTGCTGCCGCAGATGCCAGGC